TCTGTCTCAAAAAAAGGAGAAACACACATCCCTTCCATGCAGCCATTCTTTAGGATGTGCTCTCCAAGGGTGCTTTCCTCTTGGGTCTTCCAAGCCCTCTGCCCACCTACACCTGTAATTCATGTTGCTATCTGCCTTCCCCTGGGCCCTGAAAAGCTAGGTGCAGGAAGATTGCCCCTCACACATTCAGGGCAGAATCCACAACACCAAGCATGTGTCTGGTACATGTCAGTCACCAGATATTTCAAATGAATGGAATTTAGGGATTGTTAAGTGTACTGAAAAGCTGAAGTGAATGGGTATTCACTTCTACTTTTAGAATAGTAAAAAATCAGGACCAATTAAGTATCCAATAAGGAATGGATGAGTAAATCGAGCTATAGCCACAGAATTGAATGCTGTGTGGCCATTAAGAACATGGTATGGCTGTGGTTACAAAGGGTATGGATGCAGGAACAGAGCAGAGATGTGGGCAACTCTCCAGAAGCCAACCTACAGGGGAGAAAAAAAAATACATCAAAAGCACCAAATCCACAAGAAATGTGAAAAAGAGGATCCTACTCCTTCACCTACCATGTCTCGTCTAGCGGGATACCAGTCCTCCTTGCTCTGTTCCCGTAACACAAGTTAAAGTCACACTATGTTAGTGCCAATATAACGTCTGGGACAACGATGCCCAAGTACGAGCAAGATGAGGGGAACCAGCACTGCAAGCAAGCGAACACTTGACCGCAAAAGAAAATGAACAGATGAGAACAGAAGGCTCCAAAGAAGAGATTCTGTGCTAGAAGAGAATGAAACACTCAAGGAAGAAAACAAAATTCTCACAAATGTTTCATACTCCCAAGCCACTGAAGAACATGGATTCAATAAAACAAGCGCTCACAGATGAACTAATAACAGATTAAAAAGATGTTGGAAACCTAACAAAATGAAATGAGGATCAAAACAACATGACAAAAAAATTAGTAGTAAGTTAAAAGAGGCAAAGTATGAAATATACTGTTGCAAACCAAATTATTAACTCAAAAGAACTATGAGCAGAATGGAGAGCACAGATGAAAAAGACGGATAAAAACAGAAATGAAAAGCAGATGACAGCTATCTAACATAAAGTATCCTTGAAGTGGAAAAGTTAACAAACAAAATGTAAAATGCATCAAAAAATATAATACATACACAGAATGATGTAAGAAAATTTCCTAAAGTGATTAAAGAAACCAAGAATGATCTTGGTTTCTTTAATTCAAACCAAACTCTGCAGACTGCAAGTGCACACCATGTTCCCAAAAATGTAACACAATGTGTTCACAGTAGTTACAGATGTTAATCAAGTTACTAAACTTCAATGATAAAGCCAGAGTTATGTGCACAAAAAGCTTATTACCCACAAAGGAAAAAAAAATCAGTCCTGCCTGAGATTTCTCCCATTAGCCTAGGAAACACCGGAAGACCCTGGAACAACAGCGACCAACCTCTAGACAGGGATGTACAATCTTTTGGCTTCCCTAGACCACACTGAAAGAAGAATGATCTTGGGCCACACATAAAATATATTAACATTAACGATAGCTGATAAGCTTAAAAGAAAAAAAAATTTCATCTTTTTTTTTTTTGAGATGGAGTCTCACTCTGTTATCCAGGCTGGAGTGCAATGGCATGATCTCAGCTTACTGCAACCTCCCTTCTGGACTCAAGCAATTCTCCTGCCTCAGTCTCCCGAGTAGCTGGGATTACAGGCACCCAAGATCACACTCCGCTAATTTTTGTTTTTTTAGTAGAGACAGGGTCTAACCTCAGGTGATCTGCCTGCCTCGCACCCCCAAAGTGCTGGGATTAAAGGAGTGAGCCACCGTGCCCAGCAGAATTTCATCCTGTTTTAATAAAGTTTACTAATTTGTTGTCTGAGCTGATGCTAACCTCATAAACTGGGCTGCATTCAAAGACCTCTTGGGCCGTATGCAGCCAGCGGGTCACAGGTTGGACAAGTTTGCTCTAAAGCGTAGCCTCAGACTATCACCTAGTGAAGGTGTCACTTGAGTCCAGAAACAAGGGGCAAATATTTGCAAATGTGAAAAAATATTCAGAAAACAGGACGCTGACATTATTGAGGGAAGAAAACAGGAATCCAGCCAAATAAGAGAGAAAAGATTCTGGATTGGGGCCAGGTGCAGTGGCTCACACCTGTAATCCCAGCACTTTTGGAGGCTGAGGTGGGAGGATTATCTGAGGTCAGGAGTTTGAGACCAGCCAGACCAATATGGTAAAATCCCATCTCTACTAAAAATACAAAAAATTAGCCAGGCGTGGTAACGTATGCCTGTAATCCCAGCTATTTGGGAGGCTGAGGCAGGAATCACTTGAACCCGGGAGGTGGAGGATTCAGTAAGCCGAGATCACACCATTGACCCTGTCTCAAAAAAAAAAAAAAAAGATTCTGGACTGGGAAATCCATACTTAAGTAAAAGCATCAAATCAATGTAAATGAGAACGGAGCTAAACAACGGAAGTAACCTTACGTGACAGAATGCGAAGCACAATGTAAAACCAATAATAGAACTTTTTCAAATGAGAGACTGGGAAAGCAGGGAGAAGAATAAGAATGCTGGCACCCTTGACTCAGAGGGTGGGGAGCCAGTGAACACTATCAGACTTAAAACATTGTTTTTCAAAAGGCACAATTCTAACCTTATAATGCTTTCAAAAATCTCTTCCCTTAACCTTACTTGAACCTTTTAGAACAAATCTCTCTTGTACTAAAGAAACATTTTATTTGAAATTTAACATTTCTTTGGTTTCACTTCAGTTTATTTCCTTTTATTAAAATCAAGTAAATGTAATACTTTTGTTATAAAAGCACAGACGCACAAGTTGTATCTTTATAAAAGTACTTCTATCCAACTTTTCAACTATCTCTGTGTGTCTAAATGTCTTAGAAAGTTGCCTGGGCTGAAAAAAACCTCATAAAACTAGACGTTAGTTTGGGTGGTTGGGATTTGTGGAGATAGATACCTTCTTTGTATTTTTCAGTTAGCTGATTTCTTTGACACACTCCTCCCTCCTTTTTTTTTTTTTTGAGATGGAATCTTATTCTGTTGCCCAGGCTGGAGTGCAGCAGGTTCACTGCAACCTTGCCTCCCAGGTTCATGCAATTCTCCTGTCTCAGCCTCCCAAGTAGCTGGGATTACAGGCACCCACCAACACACCTGGCTAATTTTTGTATTTTTAGTAGAGATGGGGTTTGACCATCTTGGCCAGGCTAGTCTTGAACTCCTGAGCTCGTGATCCACCTGCCTTAGCCTCCCAAAAGTGCTGGGATTACAGCCATGAGCCACTGCGCCTGGCCTCTTTTTTTAAGAAACGAGCTCTCCCTCTATTGCCCAGGCTCAAGTGCAGTGGCAGCATCACAGCTCACTGCAGCCTCAAACTCTTGGGTTCAAGCGATCCTCCTGCCTCAGCCTTTCTAGTAATTGAGACTACAGGTATGTGCCACCATGCCTAGCTAATTTTTAAATTTTTTGTGGAGATGCAGGTCCCACTCACTTTGTCGCCCAGACTGGTCTTGAACTCCTGGCTTCCAGTAATCCTCCCTCCTTGGCTTCCCAAGGTACTGTGATTACAGGTGTGAGCCACCGTTCCCAGCCTGATTTCTTCCTACTGAGCATGCATCATCTTTGTCATTTTATGCAAATGCAGAATGATCTGTCTTAATTAAAAAGTAAAACAAACAAACAAAAAAAAAAAAACGGGCCAAGATGTTAACAGTGATTAGTTTTGGATGGTAGGATATGAATGTGAATTCTCTTCACACTTTCTTGCCCCTTCCAGGAAAAAGAATTCCAATGTTAGATAGGCATAGTGACTCATGCCTGCAATCCCAGCAACTCTGGAAGGCCAAGACAGGTGGATCACTGGAGGCCAGGAGTTCAAGGCCACCACCCTGGCCAACATAGTAAGACCCTGTCTCAATATAACAAAATTTAATTTAAATTTTTTTTTTAATTTCAACGTTGCTAGAGAACATGTAGAGGTGATTTTGAAAGTTCAAGTATCTAATAAGGTGCTATAAGAAAACAAAATTTAAAAAAAACAAACCACCATGTATATATGTAGAAGGAAGATTAGCCATGGATAAAGGTTGCAGGTGATTATTTTTTCCTTCTTTCTTATCTACTTTTTCACTTCTGAAAGATGAGCATTTATTATTTGTGTTTAAAAAAAAAAGACATTTTGGTTTTTTTTTTTAATACAACCGTCTTCTCAAGAAGTGATGATTCCTGGTCGAAGAGGAACCTGAGTGGTTAGACAGAGGACCAGGCAATGTCTGTGGGAGGAACAGAAACCCCTGTGGGAGAAGATGAACAGGTAGTTTCCACCTTCTCTCAGCCCCCAGCTGTCCAGTGACTCATTCTCTCATTGCAAAGGTGAACAAGGGGTGAAGACTGCCCTAGGTTAGACAGAGCCCTCAGAATCTGCCCACACATCACAAAGGAGAAGACTGCCCTGAGTCAGACACAGCCCTCAGAATCTGCCCCACACCATCACAATATGTGTACACATCCAGGAGTACATTTGTTAAGTCAGAAACAGAAAATGGCTCGATCCATTATCAGCAATATATGAGCACCAGGAAACACACCACTCGAAAGCCTGGCATGCCCAAGCTATGCTGCCCAAGATTACCACCTTTATGTGCTTTTGATGGTTAAAAAACAAAAAAAAAGCAAAAAAGAAAAAATGGGAGGGAAAGCAGGGGTTGAGAGGGAGGGGCAGAAAGGAGCAGGGAGGGGTGGGGAAGGAAGAGCAGGGCAGGGGAAGGGCGCAGAAGAAGAGGAGAGGAGGAAAGGAGAGGGAAGGGGAGTGGAGGGGAAGGGAATTAAGTTCCTAAAAGCAAATGAGGGGGCCACCCAAAGGGGTTACCTTCAAACTTCACTGACATGCAGATACTCAGCATGCTTAGACCTTAAGGTTTGGAGCATTCCAACTGGAACAAAACTCACCAGTGGCTATGGCCCAGTAAACGTCTGATCCATTCAGTAACTCACCACATGCTATGGGAGAATAAACCTGGGAGCCGGGAACTTGAAGCAGAATTCGGAATGGGGCGACTCGTGCATTGGAATCCAACACTGCATCCAGAGCGCCGACCAGGCGACCTTCAAAAGAAAAGAGAGGAAAGGGCACCTGTGAGCACAGGCTGGCCAGCTCCTCAGGTGTGTGAGGCAGTGGCCGCCGGCTGACTCCATACTGGGGTGGTAGAGACAGTTTCATATCCAGTTCTTTGACTCACCTCACAAAGCCTGAGCTCCATGGAGCCAAGGGCTCTGCATCTGCAGCAGGACCTGCCCTCAAGGCACACTCAAGACCCATTTGCTCAATCAGTGAAGAAGTGAATGAGGCGCCCCAAACCAGTCACCCAGCCTAGCTAAGGTGCTATGAACCAGTACATAAATAAGCAGGGGCTCTGGAGTCAGACTGGCTAATGCAAATCCTGGCTCCACCACTTTCAAGCTGTGGGCCGTAGACAAATCACTTAACTTATCTGTGCCCTGGATTCCTTGTTGGTGAAATAAAATAAGCACAGTCTACCTACTTTGTAGGGTAATTGTGATAATTAATGAGTGAATGTATTTAATATTCAAAGTGCTTAAACTATTGCAAGCCCATAAAAAGTATTCTGTATCACCCATTATTATTATTTAATCATCATTATCCTCCTCTCCAATATGGTAGAATAATCCTGCCTGCTCCAGGGTACCGTGGGATGTAAGTAAGATAACTAGCCGGGAGTGGTGGCTCACCCGTGTAATCCCAGGACTTTGGGAGGCCAAGGTAGAAGGATCACCTGAAGTCAGGAGTTTGCCCCATCTCTACTAAAAATACAAAAAATTAGCCAGCCATGGTGGCTGTAATCCCAGCTACTCAGGAGGCCAAGGCAGGAAAACTACTTGAACCCAGGAGGCGGAGGTAGCAGCGAGCAAAGATCACACCATTGCACTCCAGCCTGGACAACAAGAGCAAAACTCCATATTAAAAAAGAAAAGAAAACCTATCAAAGTCCTTCACAGACTATAAAGCATGAAATGTGAGTGCAGGATTAGCATTTTGCTGTAATGAGTGGCATCAGAAATCAATGGCAGGCAAAAAACAACAACAAAGCAAACAAAAAAGGCATCCCAAGGGGTGCGATGGCTCATGTCTGTAATCCCAGCACTTTGAGAAGCCAAGGCAGATGAATCGCTTCAGTCCGGGAGTTTGAGACCAGCCTGGGCAATACAGTGAAACCTTATCTCTACAAAAAAATTAAAGAATTAGCTGGGCATGGTGGCAAGTGCCTGTAGTCCTAGCTACTCAGGAGGCTGAGGCGCAGGGATGGCTTGAGCTCAGGAGTTAAAGGTTGCAGTTAGCAGTGATGGTGCCACTGCACCCTACACCCTGGGAGACAGAGCAGGACCTCAGTTTCCAAAAAAAAAGGCATCCTGATCCTTGATTGCCTGGGAATCTAGGTGGCTAAGATGGCTGAGAAGATCAGGCACCTCAATTTACTTTACACATTACCCTTAACTAATGGGCCCTGAATAAGAGCCACAGCTGCCTGAGCAACTACTATGTCTATTTTTATATACTTTAACAACCTCAAGTATAAAGAAAAGTTGAATCAGTAGGGAATAAGTTATTTACTTAACACCCCATTATATATTTCATACAAACCTAGCATCCTTCTATATAACCATAGTACAACCATCAAATTCAGAACATTAATATTGATATGACCCTAATATCTAATCATAAGATCCCATTCAAATGTTGCCTAATGTCCCAATAAAGTCCTTTTGCTACAATGGATCCAGTTGATAGTCACATTCAGTTGACAAGTCTCTTTAGACCACGTAGGTCTGGAGAAGTCTTTAATTGACTCATGACCTTGACACTTTCGAAGCTTTACAGGCCAGTTTTTCTCGTAGCATGTCCCAAAGTCTGAGTTTGCCTGAGGCCGGGTCATGATTAAATCCAGGTTATAAATTTTTGGCAAGAATCACAGAAGTGATGCTGTGTTTTCACCACATCCTATCAGGTAGCAGATGACCTCTACTTGTCCCAATTTGGTAACGTTCGCTTTAATCACTTGACTCGAATAGGGGCTGCCAAGCTTCTGCACTATAAAGTAATTCCTTTTTCCTTTGTAATTAACAGTGTTGGGAACCAGCCCAACCCTGTGTGTGGGTACCCCATATCCCGGCGGTGATGAGGGAGTGCAAAAAGGAAATAAAGACAAAGATAAGAGTAGAAGTTCACAGCATGGGTCCAGGGGTCCAAAGCACTCTCTCGTGGGGTGATCCTCATTGGCACTGAGCTCTGGGCTCCACATGCTTTTATTACGTGTATACACTTGTTAACTGAGGGGTGGCAGAGCAGGGAGGGATGATCAGGGGAGGACTAGAAATTATTGGGAGAGGCCTTGAAACTAAAGTGGGAAAGACAGCCAAGGGAGAAGGGTGTCGTCTGCAGTATTCAGTAGCAGATGTGATTCTTAGGCAAACCGAGAAACTGAGTTCTCCCTCCTATTGCTATCAAGGTGCATTTGCATCAGAAGCATAGCAGATTAAGGTGCTACACCAAAGGATCACCGTGCTTTTGCAGACACAGAGCAATCAAAATTACTCCATATTCTGAGAACCTAGGCAGAGCCTGTGCAGTATCTCTGCCCTGCAAGGATTTTCCTCCTTGCAAGCTCCCATCTGCAAAGACCCTCCTGGATCTTGTGAGCAGAGGTTGCCTCCCTTCTCAGAGATCTTACACAAGTCCTCTTTACCAGATCCACACGCAGCCTCCATGTTGAGAAGGCATTCCTGGGACCAAAGCAGTATTTCCTGCTCTGCAACCACCCTGCGGTGTTCCATGGTTTTACAGTGCTCTCAGATGGTATTTACCTTAGGCCTCCTGTTGCTGCTTGATTTCTATTTTACTGCACCAATATTTGATACAGCTTAGTTCGAGGCACAAACTTTAGTGTACAATAAGCAAAGCAAGCTTCTAACTGGTTAACTAGAATAACATAGGTCTGCCCCTGGCCATCTTGACCCACAAACCAGTATTCTGTGGAGATGTATTCTGAAGCCATGAAAATTTCCTGTTCCACATCAAATATTTCATTATTCACTTATTTATATCAGTATGGCCTCATGTTTTTCCGTTTTATTCAATGGGTTATAATCTATTTCTATCATATATTTTGATACTCTAATTGTTACAGGTTTGGCCAATGGCAACCCCTTCAAGCAGGCTTCTGTGCCCTTCAGATATGTCCCCATTGTTCTTCCTATTTTCTGGAACAACAAAATATTCCAACCTCATCTTGTAATTTCACTACTCTGGCCCTGGAATCAGCCATTTCTTCAAAAAACTCTGGTTTATTTAGTGAAGAATTGTATTTAAAAGCCAGCATATATCAATAAATTCAGGAGCTGTTTTTTCAAAAAGATCAACAAAATAGACCACTAGCCAGATTAATAAAAAAGAAAAGAGAGAATAATCAAATAGATGGAATAAAAAACGATAAAAGGAATATCACCACAGATTGCACAGAAATACAAACTATCATCAGAGATTGTTACAAACAACTCTATGCACATAAACTAGTAAAGCTGGAAGAAATTGATAAATTCCTGGACACTTGCATCCTCCCAAGCCTAAACCAGGAAGAAGTCAAAACCCTGAATAGACCAATAACAAGGGCAGAAGTTGAGGCAGCAATTAAGAGCCTATCACCCAAAGAAAGCCCAGGTCCACATGGGTTCATAGCCAAATTCTACCAGACATACAAAGAAGAGCTGCTACCATTCCTTTTGAAACTATTCCAAGTAAACCAGAAAGAGGGAATCCTTCCCAAATCATTTTATGAGACCAACATCATCCTGATACCAAAACCCGGCAGAGACTCAGCAAGAAAAGAAAACTTCAGGCCAATATCCATGGTGAGCACAGATGCAAAAATCTTCAATAAAATACTGGCAAACCGAATGCAACAGCACATCAAAAAGCTTATCCACCACGATCAAGTAGGCTTCATCCCAAGGATGAAAGGCTGGTTCAACATACGCAAGTCTATAAATGTAATTCACCACATAAACAGAACCAAAGACAAAAACCACATGTTTATCTCAATTGATGCAGAGAAGGCCTTTGACAAAATTCAACAGCGCTTTATGCTAAAAACCCTCAATAAACTAGGTATTGATGGAACGTATCTCAAAATAATAAAAGCTATTTACGACAAACCCACAGCCAATATCATACTGAATGGGCAAAAACTGGAAGCATTCCCTTTGAAATCTGGCACTAGACAACGATGGTCTCTCTCACCACTCCTATTCAATATAGTATTGGAAGTTCTAGCCAGAGCAA